AGCCCTGGAGAGGAGGAGAGGGCACAGCACAGGCCCAGGCTGAGGGAAGGGCAGTGGCTGCCCTGGAGAGGAGGAGAGGGCACAGCACAGGCCAGGCCTGAGGGAAGGGCAGTGGCTGCCCTGGAGAGGAGGAGAGGGTCACAGCACAGGGCCAGGCTGGCAGCAACTGACCATACCTCGCAGGTATGTCCAGAGTCCCCAGAGTGCTCACTGGGCCACAATAAAACCAGGTCCTCCTCCCAACAACCATGGGGGTCAAGGAGGGAGCAAGCTGGATCTCAGAGACAAAGGCTTAGGGAGGCTAGGGGTTGCGCCCTTTGTGTGGGGAGTGGATGAGTCTCTTACTTGAGGGTCCCCACTGCTCACCCAGAATATGGGAAGTGGACCCCAAATCCTTCCTACTGCCACTATCTGCATTTCCCCCTTGGTTCCACCCTGTCCTCAGGGCCTCCTACCTCCCCTCACACTCCCCAGAGGCCCTTCTGGAAACCCCTCAGGGGGGCTCCCTGGTGCTCACAGAACAGGCTACCTACCTCTAGGCCTCAGGGTCCCCTGAGTCTTGGGCCCCGCCCCTAAAGTCTGTATGCCTCCTCCTGTCCCACCCACAGGCCCATCCTGCCCGCTCCATGTCGCCTCCTCCTAAGCCCTTCTCCATCCTCCATCTCCCTTCACAGGCCAAGGACCAGAGCTACTGGGTCTGTTCTGTGTCCCTTTTCTACTGTGGGAGGGACCTGCCTGACTCATCCTAGGTCTCAGAGTGACCTGGGGCAGGGCACTCTTGGCACTGAGTTTTGATCTCTCAAGGGGCCTCCACAAGACTCATTGCTACCGGGGCTTGAGGTTCACAAGGCTTCACCCTTTGAGCACATGGAGGGGTTCTGATCTCTCAGAACCCTCTGCCTTCCTGGGACTACAAGGGACGGGAGACAGTTTGGAGGAAATAACTCCTTTCAGAGTAAGTACCAAGGACAGGGGTGTCCCACATGGAGCTGCCCCCAAACTTCAAAGCAACTGTGCCCCTGCTGGACTGAGAGGCCATCTGACCTCGGCCCAGGGAGAAGTGATAGCCCAGGGACCTCCTAGTGGGGGAAGCAGAGGGAAGATCATACCTTGGTGCTGCCTCGGAGGGTTGCCAGGTTAGAGAGATGGAGGAGAGCAAAAAGAGAGAGACAGAGCGGTGAGAAGCTTGCCTGGGCTGAAAGGAAGGCACGGGAGGGAGGGCTGAAGGCCCATCTCAGACTGTTCCCCCCATCCCAGCCTGCCCCACCTGCCCCACCAGTCTCTCTCAAACACATGCTGGGCCCTGCCCTGCCCCTGAGCCAGCCCCAGACCCTGTCCCTTGGGGACACTGTTAACAAACCAACGCCTTTGGCAAAAAAGCAAATGATGGGCGGGGGCTCTGTACGTGCATGCACACCTGCCTGGGAACAAGGCAGCAAGGCCCATCTCTGTGTCTGTTCTTCCAGGGCCTGACCTGCACAGAACATTCCTCAGGCCCTGCTGCCCTGAAGCTCTCAGGAAACCCTGTGGCTGTCCCCAGCCAGCAGCCAAGGTCTAGGCCTGGAGTTCCAGCACAGGAGCCGAGGCCAGGGCGGCTTTACTCTTGTTAGCATCCAGGATGCTCCTCGCTGAACACCCTGCATGTGTGGGCTCTTTGCTTAGCATCAGCCACCTGTGATCTCCTCTGAGTGCCACATGCACCCCATGGGAAGCATCCCCACTTTGCCAATGAAGAACTTAAAGTTGATGTTTTGCCCAAGATCTCAGAGCAAGTGAGCGTGTATACACGACTCTGCTAGAATATCCCTCCTGCCTGAGCCTGCCACAGTCAGCAAAGTGTACAAGGAGAGAGATTATCACCCCACCCCATCATGCCAGTGGGAAAACTGAGGCCAGAGCAGGACAGTGGCTTATTCAAGTCCACACAGGGAGTCTGTGGCAGTCAGGACCCAAACCCACACTGGGAGCTGGGCAGCTAGCAGGATCTGGCCAGCATGGAGTCAGTAAAAGGACAGACCAGGAAAGGTCACACAGACCACGCACTGGGTCTTCTTATGTCACACCTCAGCTGTCCCTCTCTCTCTCTTGAGGTAGGTATTTTACCTCTGAGGGGACCAGGGAGGCTGGAAGCTCTCCTTAGACCTCCAGGACTGGAGGCAGGGCCAGGGTTAGAGCTGAGGCTTCGTCCTCTCCAGTCTGTTCAGAGAAACTTTCCTGCCCGTGGAGAGAATTCCATGTTCTTCGATGCCAGAGGGGAGCTGGGGACATGGCTAGAGTCACACGGCATGGGGCCTGACCCACTGGGCCTCTGGGGGCGGGTGCTGGGACAGCAACCTAGCAACATGGAGTTGTCTGTGGTGTTTATATGGGGAGTTGGTATAAGTGGGGTGTAGACCTTGGCCTCCTAGGGACCTCTGGGGGAGATGAAGGACTGAGATAACCCTGAGGGCTTGTTCTGGATCTGACCTGACCTAGGCCTTAGAGCTCTGTTCATACACCAAGCATGAGCCAGAGAGCTGTTTATTTGGGGCTGGGTCCAGGAAATGCAGTGAGGTGGAGGGAGGAAGCGGGTAGAGAGAGAGTACAGAGGCCTGAAAAGGTAACAAAGAGGCAGGGGTGGGGGGTGGGTGGGTTATTAGAGCCACTCGTTACTTCACGTCCCCAGTGCGACCTTGACAGTGATGCCTGGAAGAGGAGAGAATAGGGTCCAGCCTGGGGACAGGGCTCATCCTTGCTACCCTCATCCTCTCTGCACAGCTCCCCTCCCCAGGGTGACTGCCACACCAGCTGTTCCAGCAAAGAGCATGGGACTTGGAGTCTGACGGCCCTGGGTTGGATCCCAGCTCTGTCAGGCACCCGGTACAGATAGTCAAATAACTCAGTCTCTCTGAGTCTCAGTTTGGTTACAAAGTGGGACAACGGTCTCTACCTTGGGGTGTCACAAGGATTAGACTGTGGGGAGCATATGTGATACTGTGGGGGTGTAAGGATATGTGGAAACTCTGGCTGAAATATTACTTCTCTGCTATTTTCTGCCCCCTCTCATCACCCATCTTTTCTGGGTCACAGTTCTCTCAGCTCAGCAGTATCCTTTCAGCTCTGACCTCTGTCCTGTCCAACTTACCCTTGGTCAGGTACCCTCTTGGGCCTCTGTTTCCTCCTCTGTGTACTAAGTAGGTTGGGCTGACGGCCACTCAGATCTCTCAGCCCCCCTGCCCACAAAGTTCCCCCAAATCTGCAGGAAGAACACAGAAGCGGGCCTGGCACCCAGATGTGGGCTCTGGCTGCAGATCCCTATCTCCTGCTGCATACGGGGCTGGGGTCCTCCTGGGGCATACGCTCCCTCACACAGGGCCTGTGAATAGCTCTGCCATCATCTAGCTATGCAATCATGAGTAGGCACGGACCTCCCAGAGCCCCACTCCCCTCATCTGTCACATTGGTTGGTGACCCCCGGAGCAGGGTTGGTATGAAATCTGGGGGTGATGTTTGAGAGAGTGCTCTATTAATCACATGGGGCGGGGCCACATGTGGGCAAACACAGGGCTGATGTTGCTGGTTAGCTGCTCTCTGGCACAAATAAGGTAAGGGAGGTGGAAAGAGACCCGGGCATCTGGAGGAGACTGGAGTTTTATGCTCAATCCACCTCAACTCCTTGCCTACACTCTCAGGGGATAAAGAAAGGCCCTGGAGAGCCTCTGCTCTGTCTCCATGGAAGGCCTGAGAGGGCAGGTTGCAGCCTGCCCTGGGTGTGGCTGACAGGCTCTGGGGAGAGGATACCAGAGGGTGAGCCCACTTTCTCCACGTGGATGTGCAGAGTCTAGGGCCCAGGTTGGCACCCACGGGCCAAAGCAGTGGTTCTTAACCAGGGGCGCCCCTGGGATATTCAGCCACAATCAGAAACATTTTTGGTTGTTGCAATTGGGGGGAGAGAAAATTGCCTCCTGTCTACCTGGTGGATAGAGGCTGGGGATACTTCTAACCCCCTCCCTCCTCACCAAAGAATGACTCTGCCCCAAGTGTCAGTGGGGCTGAAGGGCAGGAGCAGGGGCTCCGCCCCCATCCCTTCCCTCCGCCCGCTGCCTACCGTGTCGAGGTGGGTGCGCTGGTGCTTGGCACGGTCGCTGGAGTTGCTGAAGGCCTTCTGGCAGCCCGGGTGCTGGCACAGGTACGGCTTCTCCCCTGTGTGACTGCGCAGGTGGATCTTGAGATTTTCCAGCCGTGAGAAGGCCTTGCTGCAGCCTTCAAACTGCGGGAGAGGCTGGTGAGGGGCACTCTCAGCTGTGTGGGCACACCCACCACCCTGCCTGGCCCCAGACCCTCTGACCCCCACACCCTGCCCGAGCTCCAGTTTGGCCCCCTGTGAAGTGCTCAGGGCCCAGACCCTATCTGGGAAGCCCTGGTGGGTCCACAGAAAGTGAACTCCTGACTTGGGAACAGGGGGTCTGGGCTGGAGAAGAGCAGCTCCGTCTCTGCACCCGAGGAGACGCTGGGAGACAGGTGCGTCTTAGCACAGCCAGAAATGCCGAGCCCACAGCCTGGCTCTGAATGGGGCTCTCTGACAGGAGGTTTTGGATGGTATTTTTAACCTGTCTGGGCCTAATTTCTTGTCCGCAAACTTGAGAACATATGGCCACCACCCAGCAGGACTGATATGAGGGCCCCAAGGAATAGGATGGTGAATGTCAAGAGGCTTGTCCCTGTGGAGCACGGTGTGGATGCAACTGCTCTCAGAACAGTAACCACATTTGCAAGCTGCACAGGCTTGTACTTTTCGTGGGCTCTGCTCTCATACATGGCCTTCCACACTTCCCTGACTCTCTTTAAGCCCAACCCATACTCCAGACCAACATCAGGAGTCAGCTGGGAAATTTCCAGCCTTCGTTTGTGAAAGTTGCTCAGCAAGAAATGTCCCCTCTCATAGCCTGGCATCAAATCCTCCTCGGCCTTCCAAGTCCAGCTCAAACGCTGCCCAGTGGAGGCAACAGACTCTGGTCCTGGGGTGCGACTGGCTGTTCCCTCCTGCTTCTCCCCACCGTCTGACCCTGTCCCAGCCAGGGTGATGGGCACACACGGGTGCGAGAGGGACCAGTGCTAACTGGCACCACCACATCCAGGAGTGGTGCTGGGTGTTTGCTGTGACATCAATGTCCCTGTCTCAGAGATGGAGGCCTCGTATGGTAAAGAGACCCCTCACAAGACTATGACAGGGCAAAGGCAGAACTCAGGCCAAGGCAGATGCCCAAGGTCAGGTGGCCCTGCTATGCCTGTTGCCTTCCCAGGGGGAGGAGACCCTCAAGAGGAGGAGGTGAGAAGCAGCAGGCTCTCTTTCCCAAGCCATTGGTTTCTGCCCAGATTAAGGTCCATGCCCCCCACCTTCTGAACCAGGGGCCAACCTGGGCTCCCAGAAGCAGGCAGCTCAGAATGAAGTGCAGGCAGCATGTCCCCAAGGACTAGACTCCCACAGCCTGTTTCCCACACCTCTCTCTGGGGCTCACTGCAGAGAGAGCAGGAGCGGCAGGTTCTCACATACGCGTCCACATTTGTAATCCTTGACCTCCCTTTTTTTCAACTTGGGCATCAGTTTCTTTCTTGCTCTCTCCAGCTTTCAGGTCACCTTATCCATCAAAGAGTTTATGGGTAGATGCCCAAGAGGACTGTGGGCAGAGTCCAGACCCTGAGGCCCACCTGGCTCATTTTCTTGGCCTTGGTCCTGGTGTGGGACCATCCATTTGGACAAACTGGCTGCAGCCTGTGCCAAGAAGCAGCGAGAACCCAGATACGGGTCCTGCCCTCCAAGGAAGCAGAGCCCGTGTGGGAGATGCGTGCACACACACCCTATCATAAAACGCTGTGGCTGAGCTGTTGGGGGGGGGGGCACAAGAGGCGCCTAAGCCAGGCTTGGGGCCACAAGGGCTTGATGACTGTAGCAAGCTTGGAGACATGTAGGAAGTATGAGACACAAGTAGTAGTTACGCCAACATGGATGCGTTCACATCATCAATCACTGGTCTGCCTGAGCCTTGAACCAAGACCAGTAGATTTAAAGAAGATAGTGGGGTGACAGGCTTTGAAAGCCAAAGGAGGAAAGGCCTGGAGGCTTCAAACCACTGCAAGGCCACAGATTCCCTGTAGAGGCCCCTCTGCGGGTGGTGTAGGGTGCAGGCTAGGGGTCAGCTGGGTTCTTGTGATGCCTGCTGGGTGTGGTCAGAGGCCAGAAGGTAGGGGCTTAAATGCCAGGTCGATAAGCCTGGGCCCCATCTTGGGGACTGCAGGGACCATGGAAGGGGCTTATGAAGGGAGGGGACAGGGTTGGATATGCACTCAAGGGAGACCCCTCTGGCTGCCACTGACAACTGGGGTTGGGAAGCAGGGGCAGGGAGAAGGCAGTTGTAGCAGTGACAGATGAAGGTCAGTGAGGCCTGATCCAGGGCAGAGGCAAATGGAGCCGAGGCCGGGGCAGATCCGTCCCAACAGACGTGGGTACAGTGCCCAGAGACAATGACCAGTCCCGGCTGCCCCCCTTTCACCCGCCTTGAAGGCCCAGTCATAACTGTGGGCCATGCTCTGCTGGGGCCAGTCCAAGGCAAGCCGCCCACAGCTGGGTTTTAGAGGCTGTTCTGCTTCCTACTTCCAGATGTTGTGCCTTTTGTATGCATCAAAACCAGAAGGAAATCCTGTTTGGGGAGCAAACAGGCCACAACCCGCCCCCTTGCTCTCCTGCAATGGCCTTGTGCCAAGTTCGCCCCGATGTGAGATGGAGGAGCCTGGGCTGGAGCAGGGGGCTTCCTTTAAGCATCAGCTTGCCCCTTTGTTCCCCTCCGGCCATGCAGGGAGGGGCAGATCTGCAGCAGGGGCAATAATTCCTGCCGAGCTCCGTGCCTTTCCTGATTTTGGGAGAGTCCACTGGGCCCTGGAGACCAGTATATCATCTTCTCTCCCGAAGGTCTGTGTATTCCTGTCTGGAACCCTCCCTCTGAGCACAGTTCTCCCACCCCCTGCCTTTGTTCAGACTGTGCTCCTCCAGGGGCACTTCCCCTTCCAACTCTCTGACAATCTAATCGGTACATTTTTCAGAAACCCAAGATCTGCAGCTTGGCAGTTCGTGGTCTTCCAACATGGACCCAACCACCTCTCCTAAATGCACATTCCCCTCATGTCATCTGCGGGAGTGACAGACGACAGTCTCTGAACCTGGCAGGAGTGTCTTGAGCCTCAGGTCTGGAGTGCCTTTCCTCCCTTCCTCATTTAGCAGACATCTACTCCTGGTGCTTAAGCACTTCCTCCTCTGAGAAGCTGTCCCCACCCTTCCCCAGCCTTGCTCTATGATGCCCCTGAGCGGTGGGCCGGGGGATCACTACAAAGCCCTCCCTTTCTCAACATACCTGCAGCAGAGGGCTTGAGAGTTCCCTGAGGGCAGGGCTGGCATCCCAAGCATAGGGACTAGAAACGTGACGTGGCGTCCCTGCACCCCTGTGAGTACAGCTCTCATCCTGGTGTTTGTCAAGGTACCCTGACACGCGTGTGTGTGTGTGTGTGTGTGTGCACGCGCGCACTGATGCCCATGCCACACCCATGCATGTCAGCCCAGCCTTTGTCCTGCTCCCTGTAACTTCCCAGAGCTGAGCTGTAGGCTGGAGTATAATAACCAGCTGGCCAGGGTGCCCTCATGGGAGTGGTCTGTTTCTCCAGGTGAAACGAGACGTAGCAGCAGCTGGAGAAGGGATGCTGCCCCAGCAAGGTCAAGTCTGGAATGAGGATGCCGCCGGCAGGCACCCCTGGCAGAGCCATGCTCCCATCAGGACCAGCATCCCAGACCTGCCAGGGGCCTTGAGGCATTTTGGGCTTTGTTTGCAGCTGCCTACCAAGGTCCTTGTGGTCCTCCCTAGTGAACAACTACACAGAGAGGGACAGCAGAGGCAGAGAGGAGGATGGAGCACCTACTGTGCGCTGGCTCTGCTGGGCCTCGTACTGTCACAGATAGGGCGTCTTATCCTCTCCAGGGCCCTGCAGGCAAGTGCTGCCGTTCCCACTGTCAGATGAGGAGCGGAGGCTCAGTGGGCAGCCAGCACCACGGGTACAGGCACGCGTCCAGCTGCTCCACTTACTGAGTAATCTGAGGTGAGTCACTCCAGCTCCCTGAGCCTCAGTTTCCTCAGCTGGAACACTGGGTGAACTCTCCCAACCGTGGAGAGGGGTGGTGAGGATTAAATGAAATGATGCACAGGAAGTTCAGAGCCCTAGGAAGGGCAGCCTGGGTGGGGGCTGCCAGCTGGGCAGGCTACAAAGCTGTAGGAGCTGATGCTCAGGGCGGGCCTGGACACGGGCGGCTGGGAAGGACAAAGGAGGGGAGACTGGCAAGGACGATAGATGTTCTGGAAACAGCTGGGGATCTGCTGAGCCAGAAGGAAGAGAAGCAGAGAAAGGGGAGATAGACGCAGAAATGGGAGTCTGGGAGCCCCCTTAACTGGGACACATGGGGTGATGATTCCTTCTGGAGCAGGCAAGTTGTGGGATTTTTGAACCTCCCAAAAGTTCACAGAAACCACCCTGTGTAATTATTGATGTGGTTCCTGAAATGGGGTGGCACAAGTCTATTCACCTGGGGTCTCCAGTGTCACATCTGCTGGCTAGA